AACTTATTGATTATATAGTGAGTAACACTCTCACTGAATACAAGTGCTTCCCTCACTTTGGCCATCAGAAAATGTCACCTAGCCAGCCAACAGCTCAAATCAGACTTCTTTTGTGTGCTGAGGATCTGGCGGTGAGAACGACTCTGGCCAGATGTTAGGACATTTTGTTTGGCCCGTTGGGGTTCCACTGGGAGTTCGCCTGGTGCAAGCTGTGTCTTTCATCTTGTCGACAAAGCGGTGATCGGTGATCGATTGAGCATGCCTGGGCCACATCGACCAAGAGACCCCATTCACTTACATTGCATTTCTTACTGACATAAATCAGTAAGACAGGGAGCTGGGCCAGAGTAGACAGGGATCATGGACAAACAGCCATATTGCAGTACTTTTGGAGGGATAATATCACGACATGGATGTATCTCATGAAAACATCGCTTCTTGTACCTTCAACCAATTAGTAGCTTCCTGAGGTTTTCCTGGAAAATTTTCTGGAGTTTTTTAGCCAATAGGATTTTCACAAGAAGCAGCCATCTTTGTTCACCGTGGACTCATGGCCCATGTGAAGTAGGAAGGTGCTGCAGGGAGTCCAACGCCACAAGACGTGTGGAGAGTGTTGGGGAGAGGGGCCTTCAAGCCTGTTGGTGAGCCATCTGCGTGGTGCCTGCCGGGGGGCCTTAAGGTCTGTCAATGCAGTGCCTGTGGCGGGCCTTAAGGTCTTTCGGTGAGCCGTCCGCGCTGTGCCTGCGGAGGGCCTCAAGGCCTGTCGGTGAGCCGTCCGCGCTGTGCCTGCGGGGGGCCTTAAGGTCTTTCGGTGAGCCGTCCGCGCTGTGCCTGCGGGGGGCCTTAAGGTCTTTCGGTGAGCCGTCCGCGCTGTGCCTGTGGGGGGCCTCAAGGCCTGTCGGTGAGCCGTCCGCGCTGTGCCTGCGGGGGGCCTCAAGGTCTGTCGGTGAACCGTCTGCGTGATGCCTGTGGGGGGCCGCAAGGCCTGTCGGTGAGCCGTCTGCGTGATGCCTGTGGGGGGCCTCAAGGCCTGTCGGTGAGCCGTCCACGCTGTGCCTGCGGGGGGCCGCAAGGCCTGTCGGTGAGCCGTCCGCGCTGTGCCTGCGGGGGGCCTCAAGGCCTGTCGGTGAGCCGTCCGCGCTGTGCCTGCGGGGGGCCGCAAGGCCTGTGGGTGAGCCGTCCGCGCTGTGCCTGCGGGGGGCCGCAAGGCCTGTGGGTGAGCCGTCCGCGCTGTGCCTGCGGGGTGTAATATTTTAGATGGAATGGCGAAAAGGAGACATGCCAGGTACCCCAGAGGGCCTCCCAAATACAGGCTGTATGGGTCTCCTCATATCCCCTGTGTCTAATTCAATCAATTTGAGGATTAAGAGTTTTGCTGAAGTAGAAAGGAGGCTTCAGGAGGCTCTGAAAACCATGTGTGTGTGTGTGCGTATGTGCCTCTGTGTGTGCCTGTGTGTGTCTGTGTCTGTGTGTGTGTGTGTCTGCATGTTTGTGTGTATATGTGTGCTTGTGGGTGTCTGTCTGTGTGTGTCTGCGTGTGTGTGCGCGCACATGTGCCCCTGTGTGTGCGTATCTGTCTGTGTGTGTGTGAACGTGAGAGGCTCGCCAGAGCAGAGAGCGCCACACGTAGACGCCAGGGACACACACCTTGCCAAATCGGCCTCGTTCCTGGTGACAGGATTTCAGCCAGCTGCGAAACAGCCAGCCTGGCTCTTTCCCGGCGACGGGGAGCCGCGGCGAGCCAAAAAGGCAGCACTCCACATCTGCGTGTGACCTTGCCACGGCTGACCCGCCCTCACATCGACTGTGACCCGAGTGGTTGTCATGGTAATTAGTTGCCCGGAGGCAGTCGATTGATCAACAGACATGGTGTGTGGCGCTTGTCTCTCATTCGGCTGGTTAATCTGCCGGCCAGGGCATCACCGGGCTTTGCTCATGTGCTCATCGCTCATTTAGGAATCTGGTGTTTGTTTCCTCTCCCTCTCGCCTTTAATTGATTTTTGTATGTATCTGTTCATCTGGAAAATTTGCGCTGTTGTATTATCTGCCCTTGGTCTTCAGACCTTAGAGCTGAGATTAGGGAAGCCACTCTGCGGCTTCGGTGTCCCTGCATATGTCGTGTTATGACATTGTTCGTTTAGCTCTTGTTACAGTCCCTGCAGTGCTTGATATCATGTGCACCAGCTTGAGAGATCCTAAGGGTACAGATCCGGAACGGCGCAAGGTTGTGGGAACAGAACTCCTTGCATTGAGTTACTTCTGCTTTGACTGGCTCATGACGAGTCTTGAATGCGCTTCGGCGTTCTGCAGCGATGACAGACGCGAGGAGTTCGTACCCGTAAGCCGCGAGGAGCAGGAGCTGTGAGGCGTCGGCCTTCCAGCTTTACAAGAAAACCAGGGTTGGGCTGCCTACGCTGACCACTAATGACCCAGATGAAGAGAACTAAAGGTGTATTTGCTTGAGGCACATGATCTGAACTTCGTCATAAATAATGAAACCAGTTGCTGCATGATATAGAAAAGGAAGGAGGTGTAGAGGCCACTGACTTTAGGACAGGATCCTGTGCCTTCCTATCTACAGAAACCTCCGACGTTCCTCTGGTCATCTCTTGCAGTAGTGTCTGCTTTAGACCTCTCCATTGTAACATTGTGGGTCAACACTGCACCACACAGGCTTTGGATCCCACCAGGGTTCTCCATGTTTGTCCCTGCCCCGGTTCTGTCAGCTGGCTTTCATGGAATAAACCATCGAATCAGCACTTTGCCGCACGCTGACCAGCGAGCGGTGCATGTCGCATTAATTAACTTTAAGGTATGACAAGTAGACAAATTGCATTTTTAATTGTAATGCGACGAGTTTTGTTTAATTATTCATTTCTAGCCTTGCTTTTCATTTATGTTCTTTCTAATAATACCGCTTATACACCACCTGTCAAAAGTTTTTACACACCCCAGGTTTTTACCACTTTTCCATTTATTTCATAACCTGCAGATTTTTTATTCTTGTAAAGCATTGGGAAGTTGAGTTAACAACTATAAATGAAAATATAAGTCAAATAAACAAGTTTCCTTTATAACATGGAAAGAGTATGTAACAGTGCATGTCTGACATCCTGTTAACTAGGATTACTAGGATGTAATTCTAGGCTGTCCTTTAACTTTAACTGCACTACTTCACTGTTTCATCCCATGAAACAGAGCAGTATTTAATGTCCCATGTAGAAAGAATGCCTCAATATTTCTATGCTGTTACAACCGCTAGAGGAGGTTAGTTTGATGAATCAAAGTATTGTAAATACTGTAAATTTATTTGCTTGCAAAGAATATTGAGTGTATTTGTAGTAAATGTTAAGTGAGTAACATGCAAATCTGGAAAATCTCAGTTTGTGCAAAAACTTTTGACTGGTATTGCAGCTGTGATCCAGTACACAAGTTAGAGCTGGTGATTCTGGCATGGCACATGGGCATCGGTAGAAAGGGTCGGTGTTCTCTGGAATTGATTTTTGATTTCAATGGAGGCTTCTCACTTTGTGTTTTAAAGAGGTGATCACATCTGTGAGCCACGAGTAGGAAAGGTCACTCACTGACATTTACAGATGGGGCTCTTCTCGTCATGGCGCTGGAGGACGTCGGCGAATGATCACTTAGCCATTGATGTGGAGAGCTCCATCCTGGACTTTGGAGAGCCTGAAGCGCAGGCCCTCGAACACGGGAATGGGGCGGGCCGCAGGATGGCAGATGCAGACAGAGCCATTGTTAAGCAAGCGGCCTGCATGAGTGAAGTTACTGGGGTGAATCTTCCCTGTTTGTGTAGGCCTTTACATGACATCAGCAATACAGGTCTAAATCCAGCCTGTCGGTGGGTCACCTTCTAACGTGATTTCCACTTTGCGAAGGCCTGCCGTACAGAGGAGCTAGCTCAACTGGGTGACGCGCTCACTAACTGGACCACAGTCTGCTGACGGGGATGCGTCTGATGGCGCCCCCCCCCCCCCAGCCACGACTGAATGGGCTGAGCATGTGGAGTCCTGATATCGTTAATAAATGCGGGGTTACGCTTCACAGGCGACGGCTTTCGGGGTTTCGCTTGACTTCGATCCGTTGCAGCGTTGGTGTCAATGGAGAGCGGCGAGCTGGGGGTGGGACACGCAGGGTTTGCAGGCTGCAGTCGAAAGGGGAGCGGCGAGCACGGGGCGGAGGCCGACTTCACAGGGAGGAAGAGCTGAGGCCGCGAGGGGGGGGGGGTATAAAAGCAGGTCTAGTCCAGGTGGGGCTCAGTCAGTCACAGTGTTATTTTAGGAGGCTCAGGGAGGGAGGGGGGGATGGAGGGAGAGGAAGATGAATGGAGTTAATTAAGATGAGCAGGCGACGGAGACAGTGTGGAATTACACAAACACTAATTAGAGTCTTCGTTAGGGGGCACGAAACGAGAGCGGCGCATTCATCATATCGGCTTCTGTCCCTCCCTCGCTCGCTCTTTTTCCCTCTCTTTTGGTCAGCCACCATTTTTGTCTTTGCCCTTTTCCGCAGTCTCTCCTGCTACCTTCTCTCATTCTGTCTATCTTTCTGTCTTTTTTTTCCTGCTGCCCCCCCTCTCTTTTTTCACCAACCCGGCAAGCGAGTTGCCGAAGGAGAGAGTCCACTGGAGATGTTAATAACCCCTCGCGCCGCCTCTTCCCTCACCGCTGTTTTATTTTCTTCCTCATCACCCCCTTTTATCCATTCGCTGGGAGTGATTTCATTTCCTCCCCCCTATCTTTTTATTAGGGCTCTTGCGCCTTCATGGGGTGTCAGCGTTATTTTTATTGCTTCAGTACAGCCCTCACTCCTTATTCCCCTCTCCTGTTTGTATTCCTCCCATACTCACCCCTTCTTGGCCAAGACCATCCGCCTTTCATCCTTCTTCTCTCTTTGTCCGCTGAGTCCTATTGCTGCAGAAAGAAAAACACTGTTTTACTGACCTTTACTTGTTTTCTATTTTCGAGTCAGGAAAAAGAAATATAAAGGCAATTTTTGTTTATCAGGATCCCGATCGAGCTGGTAGAGGAATGGGAATACTCCAGATGTGGTGTACTCATTCACGCCTTTCACTACAGGTGTGTGCTCATTCATGCCTTTCACTACAGGTGTGTGCTCATTCATGCTTTTCACTACAGGTGTGTGCTCATTCAGACCTTTCACTACAGGTGTGTGCTCTTGCACGCTTTTCACTACAGGTGTGTGCTCATTCATGCTTTTCACTACTGGTATGTGCTCATTTATGCCTTTCACTACAGGTGTGTGCTCATTCACACCTTTCACTACAGATGTGTGCTCATTCAGACCTTTCACTACAGGTGTGTGCTCTTACATGCTTTTCACTACAGGTGTGTGCTCATTCATACTTTTAACTACTGGTATGTGCTCATTTATGCCTTTCACTACAGGTGTGTGCTCAGTCACATGTTTCACTACAGGTGTGTGCTCATTCATGCTTTTTACTACATGTGTGTGCTCATTCACACCTTTCACTACAGGTGGGTGCTCTTACATGCTTTTCACTAAAGGTGTGTACTCATTCATGCTTTTCACTACTGGTATGTGCTCATTTATGCCTTTCACTATAGGTGTGTGCTCATTCATGTGTTTCACTACAGGTGTGTGCACATTCACATATTTTACTACAGGTGTCTGCACATTCATGCTTTTTACTACAGGTGTGTGACTCATTCACATGTTTCACTACAGGTGTGTGCACATTCACATGTTTCACTACAGGTGTGTGCACATTCACGCTTTTTACAACAGGTGTGTGCTCATTCACGCTTTTTACAACAGGTGTGTACTCATTCAAATGTTGCACTACAAGTGTGTGCTCATTCACACCTTTCACTACAGTTGTGTGCTCATTCATGCTTTTTACTACAGGTGTGTGCTCATTCACATGTTTCACTACAGGTGTGTGCACATTCATGCTTTTTACTACAGGTGTGTGCTCATTCACATGTTTCACTACAGGTGTGTGCACATTCATGCTTTTTACTACAGGTGTGTGCTCATTCACATGTTTCCCTACAGATGTGTGCTCATTCATGTTTTTTACTACAGGTGTGTGCTCATTCACATGTTTCCCTAC